TGGCTAATTCTTCTACCGCTCCCTAGAAGGAAGGTTTAAGTAGTTTCAGCCAGGTGGAACTTAAGGGAAGAGGAACATTGTGATTTAAAAGCAGTTGGTTTTATCTACACGAGCTGCCAAATGCTCGTGCAAATGAAAATGTAAGGTTATCTAAAAGTTAGACACTCTGCTTGTGTGTCTGTAGTGCAGATCTTTCCTGAAGAATGTACTCAGAGCTGATTGCACCAAGCTTGCTCTTTTTTTTTTTTTCTCCTCAACCACTGGGTGACGAAGAGTCTTGTGGCTTCCATCACATGATTCCAGCACTGTTTATCCAGGCATTGGCTGAGATTCAAAGGGTTTTATTGAATGGAGTGTGTTTTTTTTTAAAATCGGATTAAATTTTGGCTCCGAATGGACTCATTGTTATAGGAATCTGTGGATCTAATTCTTAAAGGGTTAAAAAAGGCAAATTTTTAGAAGGCAAATTCACCAAAGGTGGTGAATTCGGATTGCCTTCACCAAATTTTTTTAGGCAGGGAGTAGAAAAAATGTCTCTTGGGTCTGTCAGCACTTTACTGATGCTTTTGAATATTATATATAAAACTGCTTTATTACAGAAAGATAAATGCCACATTCAGTTTGTGGATGTCCGAGCCTCTTGTTGTGTTTATAATCAAGCAAGATCCTCGGCTGCTGCTGTTGTACGTGCTGTACCTTCCATGGCTGGAGGAATAAAGGATGTTAATTCCTTTCTTATCTTTGCTATTAGGTCTCAAACGAACCCGGGAACCGCTACAACATCCAGCTGATTAATGCACTGGTGCTCTACGTCGGTACTCAAGCTATTGCGCACATCCACAACAAAGGCAGCACACCCTCTATGAGCACCATCACCCACTCAGCTCACATGGACATCTTCCAGAACTTGGCAGTGGACCTGGACACTGAAGGTGAGCTGGAAACACTTCTAGTTCACGCCATCTCCAATTTAACACCAGATTCTCTGTTTGAGCTATGAAAAATATAGATTATTTCAGGTAGCTGCTGCTTAAGCTCACAATAAATAGTGCTCCGTTAGAACATTAAACTCTCAATACAGGAGCAATATTAAAACCCAATGTTCGTGGTATTAAAAGGAATGAGAAATAAGTTTGATGAGGTCGAAATGAATTGACACAGCCCCATCAGCCTGGGTTTTTCGTATCTAGAGTTGCTTTTGTTTCTTGTACCTGCCTTCGTAAGACAGGCTTGTGCCTTAAATCTGAAGCAATACTCGTTGCTGCTGGATTCCTTTTTGTGTAAGGAAAGCTGTATGTGCTCTCTGGTCCTCTTCTGCAGGCCGGTACCTCTTCTTGAACGCAATTGCCAACCAGCTGCGCTATCCCAACAGTCACACCCACTACTTCAGTTGCACCATGCTCTACCTGTTCGCCGAGGCCAACACTGAGGCCATCCAGGAGCAGATCACCAGGTGAGGGGGAAGGTGTCTCACTTGTCAGCGTTCAGCTTAATCATAGAATGGTATGGTTTGGGCTGGAAGGGACCTTGGAGACCATCCAGTGCCGCCCCTGCCCTGGGCAGGGACACCTCCCACCACACCAGGTTGCTCCAAGCCCCCTCCAACCTGCCCTTGAACCCCTCCAGGGATGGGGCAGCCACAGCTTCTCTGGCCAACCTGGGCCAGGCTCTCACCACCCTCCCACCAAACAAGTTCTTCCCCACAGCTCAGCTCCATCTCCCCTCTTGCAGGGTCAAACCCTTCCCCCTCCTCCTAGGGCTCCCCTCCCTCATCCAGAGTCCCTCTGGTCCCAGCTTTCCTGGAGCCCCTTGAGGGACTGGAAGGGGCTGGAAGGTCTCCCCGGAGCCTTCTCTTCTCCAGGCTGAACCCCCCAACTCTCTCAGCCCCCCCTCCCAGCAGAGGGGCTCCAGCCCTCCCAGCATCTCCGGGGCCTCCTCCAGCCCTGCTCCTACAGATCCATGTCCTTCCTTTCACTTCTCTTTCATGTTTATATCAGACCTTTGAGCTCTAATGTTTTTACTTTTGGATTTCAGGGTTCTCTTGGAACGATTGATTGTAAATAGGCCTCATCCCTGGGGCCTCCTCATTACTTTCATTGAGCTGATAAAAAACCCAGCGTTTAAGTTCTGGAACCACGAGTTTGTTCACTGCGCTCCAGAAATTGAAAAGTGAGTATAACTTATCTGTAAAAATCACTAAAAAATAACTAACTAACTAAATAACTGAGGCAGGGGCTGAGATACACCCTGAGAATTTGGTGCTTGGTAGCGGAAGGACGGTTCACTGCCGTAAAACACATGTAACTCCGCTTTGCTTCTGCCTTCAGGTTGTTCCAGTCGGTTGCACAGTGCTGCATGGGGCAGAAACAGGCCCAGCAAGTGATGGAAGGGACGGGTGCCAGTTAGACCAGCCACATCTCGTGTTGTAAATGTGCCAGCCTGGAGGCCCCCGTCCCACCAACCGGCAGAAGAACTCCGTAAGGCTCCTCCTGACCTTCCCAGCCCCCCTCGATTGGGTAGACGCGACGAGACCCTGGGTTGAAAGTCTTATTGTGGGCACGTTCCAAAGTTTGAAACAAATTATTTTTTTTTTTTGACTTTTTTTTTTGGCCAAAATTCAGAAGATGCTGTGAATATCATTTTGAACTAGTGTAAATACAAGGAACGGAAACGTTTTGTCTGGACTTCTGGGTTTGTGCAAATTGTGTAAAAGGCAGGTTGGGTAACTGGTGCCTGTCCAGCGTGTAATAAAGGGGCAGCTGCTGATGCCAAGCACTTGTCTGGGGCAAACCTCCTTGTCCTGACATTCCCAGACTCCCAAAGAATATGGAAAAGCCAGTTCTAATATTATGTAACTTATTTTTCTTTATGTGGATGGGGGACCTTTAAATCACTTCAGTTGTTTTACACACAAAAAAAGGAAAAGAAAAAAAAAAAGGGGGTGGATGTGTTTGGAATATGGGAATAGGATGGGAGCAGGGGAGGGGTGAGGGATGGGGGGGTTAAGGTTCAGAGTTGCTTTGCCCTCTCCACCCACCCTCATCAAATGCTGACAGACAGCAAGTGGAGCTGCAGGCAGAGAATGCCTCCTTTCTGTTGGAGAAGACACACCTCAGGCCCTTTGGGAGAGGGTCAGCCGTTTTTAGTAAAGAAACCAGAGACCAGGCCTATAGCTTCTTTTTTCCTTTTTTTTTTTTTTTTGGACACTTGTAAATTTTGGAAGGTGGGGGGTTAAATCTAGACCTTTTCCCACGCCCCCCGTCCTGTGACCACACAGTATAAGTTTGTAAAAAAAAAAAAAAAAAAAAGAAAAAAAAAAAAAAAAAAAAAAAAAACAAAACAAAAGAAAACCAAAAGAAAAAAAAAAACACAACAAAACAAAAAAAACCCAAAGGACCAATACAGCCCATTTTGTAAGGATTTTGAATGTTTTGTAAAGTATTGGTCCATGTGTTGTATTTTGTAGCCTTTCTAGTTCTTGGGCTTTAGTTCTCCCACTTCTTGTATGTATGCATACTGTAGTTACACATTAAAGTCATGACATGCAGCACGTGCCACTCTGCTTATTCTCTCCACTTCCCTCCTGCCTGCCCAGCTGATGGTCTTTCAAAGCCTGTTTCACCCAAAAACTGCCATTTCCCAGTGGGTTTTGGGCGCTGCCTTTTGAAAGCAACTGGGCTTGTTTTCCAGGGTGAGGGGAGAATTGTTATGAGTAGGCAGGGACTCGCTTTGAAGTGCAGAAGGAGAGGAAGGTTGTGTGGAGGTAGAAAGGTCTCAGTTGCACGTTGAGGAGCAGAGTTTGTCTCTGCCAAAGCTGTGCCAGAAAGGGGACTGCATGGGGTGACATTCCCTGCAGCCAGGGGCTGTGCCAAGTTGCTCGTTAGCTTTAATAAGGGTAGGTGGTGTCAGGGTTGCTCATACTGCAAACTCCTTTAGCCTGGGCCGTGCAACCCAGCAGGGAGGAGGAAATAGTTTCTCTGCTTTCTTTCAGAGAACTGGTTTAACTGTTAAAAGTGAGTTGACTGCTGTTACGTGAGTGGAGAGGTCAGGATTTCCTGCTCAGATTTAAGGGATTGATACCTGGCTGTGCTTTTCCTGCACAGAGCAAAAACCAGATCCAAGCTGCCAACTGTGCAGCTCAAGGGGAATTCTCCAGCTGTTCCTGTTCCTAGGAAGTGGTGTTTTTTCGTTGCCTCTGCTTTAAGGAGCAGTCTCTTCCCTGTTCCTACAGTTCCCTGGCATTGGTTTGGCAGATCAGTAGTTGCACTGAAATTGAGCCTTTTCAAGTTGGAATTTTTTTGGTTCTGGTGTTGCAACTCAAGTTTATTCTTCCTCCTGCACTGGGTTAGGACATGGAGAATTAGCAGCAACCAGTTTTATCTAGTCCAGATGCCAGGGGATTATTTTTTCCTGCCATTTAACTCTAGCAAACCATACGCAGAGCTTATTGACTTCCCCTAATGACTCCAAAGCTGCAAGGTCTCTCTGGTTCTGTACTAACACTGCTGCACACAGCTGGTTCCCTTCAGGCTTTAACAACTGTTGGGCTGGTGAAAAGAGGGGGTGGAAGGTGAACAGGACTCAAAAAAAAAAAAAAAAAAAATTAAAATCCCAGTGACACAAGTTGGGCTGGTAGGATGGAGGCCACTGCAGTTCATACCCTCTCTTGGCAGGTGAGGAACCTGCAGCTGGTGCTGTCAAAGTAAACGGCGTTTCAAAAATGAAGACTTAACTTTTTTGATCCACCGTGTGCCTAGTTTGAAACCTGGTGTGCTCTTGGAAGAGAAGAGCCAGGATGGCAGGCTGGACTCTACACCACTTTAAAAGGAGAATTAAAAAAAAAAAAAACCCCACCCTGGCCCCCAGCAGCACAGGTAGGGGTGTAGCTGACCTTTATATACACAAATAGTCTGGGTTTGTGCTTCGAGCTGCAGCAGCAAAGGCCCCCCCCAGCCCCTTTTAGATGGGGCTTTGCACCCTGTTGAAGTAGACAGCGTTGGCTGGATAAGAAACAGCATCTTTATTAAATACAGCTTGGTCTGCAAACCTCAGCAGTTTTTGCCTGACAAAACACCGGAGGAGAAAAATATTACTGTAGCTAAATGTGATTCCCCTTCTTTGGGGAAGAACTGTATGAAGTGGGGGTGTGTATGGAATGCTGAGCCTACAGCAGAGCTGGGACTCTGCTCCTCGGCAGAGAAAGTGTTCTCAAGCCTGTACAGAAAGGCCTTTTATAGAGGTAAAAGGAAATAATCTTGCTGTACTGAACCTGTATGAACACCAGATGGGACGGATGGGCTCGTGCTCTTCAAAATGCTCAGTATTAACAAAATTTTAAGAGTTTAGTTTGTCAGTGTTGGCATCTCCACCTGCCAGGTGTCTACTCTGAGCCTCTCTAAGTAAGAGTTGCCTGCTGAGGTTTCCACCTTCATGTGGACAAGGAGCAGTTCTTTCTTGCCTTAAATTTTGGATCCCAAATGAGGGAGACCACTCGTTACTCTTGATAATCTGTCTGCCTTCTTAAAGCAGCTCTTCGGAGAGCTGAGTTTTAACTCCTCTAGAAGAAGGTGGTAGCTGTGCTCCAGAGCTCTCACCACAAGATAATACCACCCCAAACCACTTCTGTGCCATGGAAGGTAGCTCATGTAGAGGTAGCTAAAAAGCCACGTGCCGTATGAGGGACAAGTGTGCCCGTATTTCCTCTCACCATCTGTTCTTGCTGCTGTGGAAGAGATGGCCAGAGGTTGACCTTCCCTTGCCCAGCACCGTTGTGGGCAGTTCCTTCCCAGGGACAGCCAGGTTTCTAGCGTACCAGCTCTAGCAGCTGATGCAAGATCCTCTTCTGGCCGTAGCGCACGTGCAGAGCTTGCTGCTCCCTTCTGCTCAGCTTCTCATAAGCCTCCTTGTTGTTCAGCAAGTCCTGCTCCGCTTTCAAGTCCGACCCGTAGGACTCCAGGGTCAGCACCACGCTATCGTAAAGGAGCTTCTTGCAAGGGGTTTTAAGTCTGGAGAGAGCCTGGTAGGAAAGGGTAGAGTTTTCCTCTCCCTCACTGTCCTCTTCCCAGCCGTCTTGTTCCTTATACTCCTTGAATTCTTCTTCTGACATGCACAGCACCTGGAATGAGCCACGAAAAGAGAAGTCACCGGCAGTGTGAGAACATCAGGCTTTCTTCTCTAGAGAAGTGTGGTCTGAAGGCCACATGGAGCAGGGGAAGCATCCCTTGGCTGCACTAAAGGTGTAAAACTGGCTTAAATACCACGTCACAAATAACTTGGGGGTTAGAAGAACATTCAAACAGCAAACCTGGCTGTTGGGAACTGTCTTGAAGGACCTCTGAGCTGTGACCTACAGAGCTGAAAAGCTCTCGAGGACAGCAGGAGCCCCAGAGCCACTCTAGACCAGTTCGTAAGTGCATGAGGGTGGTTAGTTCAGGAGAGGAAGATGATGGTACCAGGACCTGGTAGATGGGCAACCACACTCCCTACAGCTTTTCAGGCAGGAGCATGAGCACCAAAAAGCCTTCACAGGCTTGTCAACCTTTCACCGAACCATTCTGGTTTTACAGCTGTAATACTTGCGTAGCTCTTCCACCCCCTTGGAAGCCCCTTTACCTTCAGGGTGGTGGAGAGCTCTTCTTCTGTCAGCACCTCATCCCAGCCAAGCACGAAGGCGCCTTCCTCCCCCACCATCTCCAGCTGGCACAAGAAGTCCCACTGCTCCGAGACCAGTTGCTGCTGGGCTTGGCTGCTGGCCCCTGTTGAGAAGACAGCGGAGCTGCAAACCCAACTTGGGGAGTGGAACAGGAAGCAGAAAACCCAACTCCTAGCCCCAGAAATGGCCTTATTTTTCACATCACTCTTGGATTATTTAAGAGCTCCCCCCCTGGCCTCATCCTGTCCCCGAGGGGCGGTGGGTGCCGCTCACGCTGCAGTGCTGCCCGGCGGACTGTCACCATCTGGATGTCAGCCGTGTCGTTGGTGTTGCCGGGGTAGGGCTCGGCGAAGCCGTACATGTGGAGGAGCTGCCAGTTGGCCATCTGCCCGTAGGTGTTGAAGATCTCCTGCCCTTTCCTGATGGGCCGCGTCGTCACCATCCGCAAACATTGCTGCAAGCGGGGAGAGAAGAGGCTCTCGGAGCTGCCACGATCCCACCACCCGCAGAAAGAAGGTTTTTCAAAGAGGATCAGGTGACCCTACACTCTTCCTAGCTAAAGCCAGGCATGTAACAGGGAGAACGTTGAGCAAATTAAATTCATATTAACGAGATCTCAGCCAGACTTGCTGCTCTGGTGGGCACCAAGTAGAGGCCTCATGGTGAAGAGGAACCTGGTGCCCTGGTGGGCACCATTCCTGGAGGCTTCACGGTGAAGAGGAACCGGACCGTGACTACGCCTGGCACGGTGGCTCTGCACTCACAGGAGAGTATTCCAGGTTGGCATTGTGGTTGGCCACGTGATTCAAAATATCTGCTACAGGCACCATCATGGGAGGATTGGGCCCCTTCTCATCTTCGTCTTCTTCCTCCAAAGGTTCCTGAAAGCTAAGATGAGGGAGATGACCTTTTAAGTAACCTTTTAAGTAACACAGCCTGTTAACTGTCCCCCTGTGACCCTACTCCTTGTCCTTGCTCTTCAGTTCTCACCTGTAGGCCATGACAAATGCCACCAGCTGCTTGTACAACTCCAGCGTGTGCAGCTTGGGGTCAAAGACAGTGGGGTGGGCCTTCATGAAAGGCAGGATGATGGAGCTGTACTCCAGGTGGATGTTCGCCAGGTCTTTCTCCACAGCTTCTGGGATGCCTGTGCCCTGCAGGAGCCTTGTTCGCTCTTCTTCAGGCCTGTTGCAAGAAAAAGGGCAGGTTTATCTCCATCTGCCCCAGGAGAAGGCTCTATAAACTCCTTCCTCCTTCAAAATCTCAGCTTTCTGGTGCTCTAGGGAGTCCTGTTTTGTGGTCATGCCTGTAGGTAGTTCCACCCCAGGTAGGGAAGTCCTTTGGGCTACTGCCATTGTCAGCACGGGGCTAGAATAGAATCATCATAGAATGGTCTGGGTTGGAAGGGACCTTAAAGCCCACCCAGTGCCACCTCCTGCCCTGGGCAGGGACACCTCCCACCACACCAGGTTGCTCCAAGCCCCCTCCAGCCTGCCCTTGAACCCCTCCAGGGAAGGGGCAGCCACAGCTTCTCGGGGCAACCTGGGCCAGGCTCTCCCCACCCTCCCACCAAACAAGTTCTTCCCCACAGCTCAGCTCCATCTCCCCTCTTGCAGGGTCAAACCCTTTCCCCTCCTCCTGGGGCTCCCCTCCCTGATCCAGAGTCCCTCCCCAGCTTTCCTGGAGCCCCCCTTCTTTAGGGACTGGAAGGGGCTGGAAGGTCTCCCCGGAGCCTTCTCTTCTCCAGGCTGAACCCCCCCAACTCTCTCAGCCCCCCCTCCCAGCAGAGGGGCTCCAGCCCTCCCAGCATCTCCGGGGCCTCCTCTGGCCCCGCTCCAACAGCTCCATGTCCTTCTGCTGGTGGTGGCCCCGGAGCTGGCCTCTCTGAACCATGCAGGAGGACCACATCCCACCTTAGGACTCCTGGCCAGCCCTTGGGCTGTGCCTGCCACGTTCAGTTGTCAAACCAGGGTCACCGCCCTCGGTGTCACTTTACCAGAACATGGGGTGATCCAGGCTCCTGAAGTCCTGCCAGAGGGAGAAGTAAGGCTGCCAGTGGGAGTTGGTGGCCGTGTACTCGTGCAGCAGGGCCAGCAGGAGGGGCACCCACCCAGACTGGCTCTGCAGGGACTCCTGGGCTATGCAACCAGAGACAAGGAAAAGTAAGTTAAAATGAAGTTCATCTGAGGTTTTGGTCCTTTTCTTGGAGAACAAACAAGCCTTCCAAGAACCAAAGCCTGGTACCGTGAGCCTCATGGCCTGTCTCCTTCCTGGGGTGAAGAGCTGAAGGAGAAGGTGCTGCTCCCGAGCTATGGTTGAGCCCCCTGACCCTGCCTCTCTCTCCTCACCCCAAGTTTTTGGGTCCTTCAGCAAGAAAGGAACTGGTTGATGGTTTTTTTTTCTAGTAGTGTCTGTCCTGGGCCACCTTCCCAGGGGGTGGTTGTCTCTTAAAGATGAGAGATGCTCCAATAAGGGGTTCCCTGGGGAAGCGATGGGGTCCCAAACCTGGGTTCTTCACCCCATGTGTGCAGGAAAGGGAGGCAGCGTCACAGAATGGTCAGGGTTGTGATGGGACCTCTGGAGATGATCTCCTCCAACCCCCTGCTGGAGACAGGGTCATCCCTGTTCACAGCAGGAAACACCTCCAGGTGGAGGGTTGGAGCATCTCCAGAGAAGAAGACCCCACCACCCTCTCTGGGCAGCCCCTTCCAGGGCTCTGCCACCCTCAAAGCCAAGAAGTCTTCAATTTTGGGGACTCCTCTTGGCTTCAAAGCGAAGAAGTCTCTTCCTTGGAGGACTCCTCTTGGCTTTGGGAGCAGTTTGGCTCCATCCAGCTCTGATGCCCCCATGTCCCCACCCAGTCCCCCATTCCCACCATGCCCTGGGTGGCAAAACCTGGCCTTTTGGTCACCCTTAACCCTTTCCTTTCCAAGCTCTCCTTGCTTCCCCAACCCTCTGGCTCCATCGGGAAGGACTCCTTCCCCCTCCCCATCCTCAGGAAGGAGGTTTTGGGGGTGGGGGAGGCCCCGGGGGGGGTTGTTGGGTGCTCACCTTCCCGCAGGAGGGGGTGGATGGCGGTGCTGTGCTGGGAGAGCAGGGCGCTGCGGGGCACCACCACCACCACCTCCCCCTCCTCCACCTCCTGCGCCGCCACCAGCCCGTACCCGGACACCGCTCCCGCCCGGCTCACCCGCACCTGGGGGGGACACAACCGGGTCAGGGTGTGGAGGGGGGGGGACAAACACACACCTACCCCCCGCCCCGGGAGATTTGGGGGTGTCACGGTCGGTGGTGTCTCACCTTG